AAAAAAAATATATATATATATATATATATATATATATATATATATATAAAGACACTAATTAGAATTAAACAGACATCCAGAGTATTGGGCAAGGAGCGTGTAGCATTTGTAGGTGAGGAGCCCGTTGTAAGCAAGGCTCTTTCCTAGGGCTGTGAGACTATTTTTGCCTCCGCAATGACTTGAGTGTTTCCAAGAGAGATGACGAGAGGAAGGAAGAGAACAAAGAGCAGTCAGGCACATCAATGAGCCGTTGTGCTTCCCTAGAAACTGCAGTGGCTCCGTGGATGATGTTCTGCCCTGTTCTGTGGATCTGTGTAAGAATCCCATTACTTTCCAAAAACGGTCGCAGGAAACGTGCCTTAGACTGCTGCGGGTGTACCCCTAGGGCCTGTGTATTTGAAGGGCACTGAACTGACTTTTGCCTTTCTTGCTGTACAGTGAGCACTTAATATTTTCAGGTCTGCTACTGAGTAGCTATCTGACCCCAGGCAAGTCACTTAGCCTATTCGGGCCTCAGCTTTCTCACCTGATGAATAAGGAATGAGATTAGATATTTTATTATGTTCTTTAAAAAATAGCATCCTAGGTTTCTTTCTTTGTATGCATGAGAGGAGGTAAGGTAGAACGGTAATAGACCGTTACACTTGGAAAAGTTGCACAATTAGCTGTTTCATTACCTATTAATAGACCTTAAGCATTTTCCCAAGTAAATGGAGAATTAGTTGGACCACAGTGGTGGCTAATGTTTAAAAAAAATCTTGGTTATCACTATATTTACATGATCTCAAAGTGTCTTCTCACAAGACCTTATTAATTACTAGAGGGAAAATAGAAACACCTGAAAGTGATCAAAGTTAACATCACCAGTAATGGGACAGCTAGATATCATGCACCTCCTAATGTGATGCTCTGAGAAGGATGTAACACCACTTTTGTGATATTCCTGCCCCCCAGGGTGCACAATTTGAATCTAATCATGAGGAAATATCAGAGAAACCCAAACTCAATGACATTCTACAAAATAATTGGCCTATGCTCTTCAAAAATGTCAATGTCATGAAAGACTGCAGAATTGTTTCAAATTGAAGGAGACCAAAGAAACATGACAGCTAAATGCAACAT